TGATAGTATTATCAATCCATGATAGTAATTGAACCCACATCAAATGATAGTAATTCAGTATGTAATTCAGTATGTAATTCAGTATGTATAATATTAAATTTTATTAAATCACCATGAGTGTAATACATTGTAATACTGTACGTGTGCTACTAACCATGATAACCATGAATTGATGTTAGAGTTTATTTGTGCAACGATCAAATGAAACATCATTTCTGGATGGTGAAGCTGTAAGGACTGAAACCCTGCTTCGTTTCCTGGCCCTGGCACCAGCTGTGTCACTTGGTTACGCGGTGGTATCCTGTGGTACATTGTGGTACTGGGTAAACTGACTGGTTAAAGAAGCACCAAAAAAGGGCCTATATAACCAGCACATTTGGGAAGTCATTTAGCACCTAACCACCAACCGACCATGGGAAAACCAGGTGTCTCATCAATCAAAATTGGCCGGGTCCAGAATTGCAATCAAAACCCTGGGGGCCCCAGACGGACTGGTGATTTGTACTGGTGCATACGGTTGCATTTTTTAGGTGCCCAATTATGCCCTTGTATGGGTGACTTATTTGGGGGTCTGACTGGGAAAAGATGGGAAAAGGAAAAAGGCTTTCATTGAGGTGCTAATTTAGGTTTATGAGATGTACATTTCTTGCCCAGATCAACGGCCAGTGGGAATAGAGGCACATACCTTCAAAAGAAGCTCATGAGGATTTTCTAGGGAAACTGTTCCATCACTTGCAATTCTTGAAACAAAGGCCTGTTTAAAAGACGGACCGGGGGGCTTGTGTTGCCACACGCAAAATCGAAGTTGGACATAGAGACCCATAGGATGCCACTGAAAAAACTTGTACCGCCATCTCGTCATGGGTTCTTCAGCCAAACAATGACTCATGACTTAAGCCTCCAGACTTAGCATTGTTTCTGTAGTGCAACGAGCACCAGTTCCCATTGCAAAGTTTACCTACTGGAATCGCGGACGCACTCATAGACTCACACACCAATTGAGCGTCACACGCCTCAAATATTTGGCCGGTTGCATCCCTGTTTGTTTTCAGTTAATTCTACTTGAATCCGAGGTGTGAAGAAACACCTGTTCTGGAGAAAGAGGTGGGCGCAGTCTTCCAGACAGTGGGCTTGGGGAGGAAATCGGCATCAATCTCCAGATCCAGATCCTAATTCCCAAAAAGAATTACGGAGCACCAAAGTTTCAGGGATATTCACTGAGGGAAAAGAATGGTATTCCATGAAAGTGGGCTGAGCTCACACAAACCTGTGGCTCCAGTTTTTTGGTGACGGGTTGATGTTCGCCAGGACTTGACCAAAGCAGAGAGCAGCTTGGCTGGTGAGAGTCCTGGAGGTACCCGAGAAAATTCATAGAAACTCAGATAGAATTGGAGAACCCATAGCTGCCATAGCGGTTTTTCGGAGGGTTTTCCTGTTGGAACATGTCATTTGTTGATCTGTGGGCCCATTGTGCTCCACAACATGCGGATGTGTCTCCCAAGGTCCTGAACTCACCTTGGAGGACAAGGTTTGTGCAGCCTGCGGCGGGGTGAAGGATTCTTGGCGATGGCTGGATGAGGCTGAGGTTGGAGAGGCCCTGGTGCACCAAACCAAAGTAAGTTGGCTTCGCGCTTACAGATCATCAAAAATATCTCAGGAACGCTTGGGCAGAATTGAACCATCTCGAAGCATCTCCTGAGATAATTTCTGAAGTTTTCTCAATGGTTAGTGGGATCAACTCGACTTGTATCTATCTATCCAACCTAACCTAACCCAACCCAACCCAACCCAACCAAATCCAACCTAACCCAACCTAAACCTAACCTAATCTAATCCAATCCAATCGAATCTACTCATCTAAATGAATAAATAAAAACATGTGTATATATATATATATATATATGCATGGTTTTTCTGGTGTAGATAGATAGATAGATAGATTAGATTTGATTAGATTAGATTAGATTAGATTAGATCAGATTAGATTAGATTATATAGATTAGATTTGATAGACAGACAGACAGACAGACAGACAGACAGACAGACAGACAGATAGATAGATAGATAGATAGATATCCGTGTGTGTCTACCTCTCTCTCTATGTTCTCACGCACACACACACACATATATATATATAATTATATATATATATATTATAATTATACATCTATATTGTATGCACTTGGGATGTTTCATGTGGTATTCCCTTCCGCCCCAGGATCAATTGCAGTCGTCCACGGGCTGGAACACTGCGGTGAAGATTGCGGAGAAAGTGGGCCATTGTCTCCAACAGCCAGGCGTGGCACACCGGAGGCGATTCGTGATGCGTTTTGGATGGGGAAAAAAAAAAATAGCGCCCGTTTTGGATGTGCTAAAAATATGGATCAATTTTAGATGCCAGCTTGGTAAACTTGGTAAACTGGCAAATTATGAGATTTTAAGCGGCAAAAAAACATCTGTCCTAAATTGAAGAAACAATCTCATGCAACTGGTCAAACAAAAAATTAAGGGGTATAAAGCGATGAACCACGGCCCCCAACTCATGGCACGATCTATGTTAGTTGGGGAATGGTATATATATATATATATATGTATGCGCGTGTAATCCCAGTTCCATAGCCATCATTGATGGTCTCTGAGCTGGTTCTCTTCTGGCAGGCAGCCCTCGGAGCCAAGCAAAGCGTCACTAGGTGTGATTCAACGCCCCCGGTGGGTTACCAACATGGAGCTTTGACATTTCACCAGCAATAAGGGGGTGATTTGCTTGGCGGCCAATCTTTGGATTGTTCCAACTGGTGGCTTCAACCCATCCCCTATAAATAAATAAGAGTAAAGTGGGGATCACCCCTTTTCCAAACATGGAAGGGATAAACATTTGAAGCCACCAGGCGGTTCTGGCCAGTCGTACCGCCTGGCGGTCATGATGCACATGATGCAGATGGATGGGATGAGATGCAAGCGTCTCTGAGATCTTTCATTTCCATCAACTCTTTTCTTGGATATTTTTTGTTGTCAACAACCTTGATATTTCAACTTATTTCCACCTTGACATGTTGGCCCGCGGCTTTTGCTCCACTGCCGGCCCTTGAGGTCTGATGGACCTGGGGCACAAGGAACTGGTGTCCGCCACGGAAATCTCCTTGACTTTGGCGGGGCTCACCATGGCGCCTTGAACCGGACCGGGGGTAGCACATGGCAGGCTGGAAGAGGACCATTCTTGACAATTTGCTTACGGAAGTGGCCAGGTCTTTGTAGTGTATTTTTTTTGTTTTTTTCGTTTTTTTTGGGGGGAGGGGATGAGATTATTGGGAGTTGAACGCCATACTTTGATTTTCTTGGGATAAAAAGTCCAGCTTGGCCATTGAATCTGGTCGTTTTCAGTAAATGATTTTTCAAGGTTTTTCACTTAAATCATCTACAATGGTGTGAGTGGCCGAACCATCAGCCAGTGGATCATGGTTTATAGTTTATAATGCCCTCACAGGTGGTTGTTTCTATTCACCGGGTTGGTTGTACGTACTGCCACGTCGGATTTCTCCAACACAAGCTTTGTCATTATTTGTTTAGTTTAGATTGTCATATTCAATGCCAGCTTTTGTTCTGTATGTTTTCAGCACCAGATACACATACTATATACCCGTATGCAATGTATACTGGGATCCAATTCTCACCAGTTCTTTGATGATGCTTTGATGTATACTTCCTAATATGATACCACCATTTTACGGCTTTAATATTATTCCATACTCACTGAATTCAGTGCAGCAATATATATATACAATTATACACATATCCTTCTTATACCCATGGCTAGTTATCATATTGGTTTGATCCGCCTACACACACATGTTTACCATTTCAGTATAGGTTTAGAGGTGTCCCTTTTCCAATGCAACTCAATATGACAGATATATAGTGACTATAAAATGCAACAGTATATTTTATAGATAGTAATAGTATTAGTATATTCTATGGTGTATTACATATATATATATGATCATTACTATATATCATATGGTATATTACTATGGTATTAATTACTATAGTAATACACTACTATATATTACATACAGTAATTATGATTTCAGTAATTATGATTTCAGTATTAATACACTACTATATCTATAGCTATATATATATATATATTATAGTAATGTATCAACATGATCATTTCATGATGATTTCAGCAGTTTACACCCAGGTCGTGCTCCATCACAGCCAGATCCATCCGGATGCGGCGGTCTTCGAGCAGGCGAACGACGGATGACCCGGCGTTTCTTAACAGCGGGAGATGGGGAGTGCAGCAAACAGTGGTGATTTACACTGGGAAATCCTAGGAAAAGGATGGGAAACGGCCAGAAACCCTAGGAAAATGATGGGAAACTGTCAAAAACCTTGGAAAAATGATGGGAAACTGTCAAAAACCTTACTAAAATGATGGGAAACTGCCAGAAACCCTAGGAAAATGATGGGTAAACTAACATAGATGGTGGACAATCAATGGGGAAATCCTAGCAAAATTATCTATAAATGATAGGTTGTTCCATATCTATGTTGGTCTAAGGGTAATTGGAAATAAATGGAATTGACCCCAAATTCGGGTTGTCCAAAAAATGGGGGATGCCCCCAAACAGACACATGGAAACTCCGAAAAACATGGAGACCCAAGTGGTTTGGCCAGCAGAACAGTCAGAACTGGGACCTAGAAATTCAATCTGGACTCGTCCAGAAAAAGCAATGGCAAGGGCAGGGCAGGGCAGGTCACGATTGTCAGCACATTTCCCCACCATATACAGATATTATAAAGCTGTGAAATGCGGATCAGATATTTAAACGTTTACCGATTCAAATCAGATAGCATTTTACCATCACCAGGGCACAGAGATTTCCAAACAGCCGGTGGGTCCCCCTGCAACCTTTGCGTCGGACGAGCGCCTGCCTTTGTGCAGATCAGTGACGCGCTGGACGACTTCGTCGGAGCTGTGAGGGACTTGTTTCAGGCGTTGAAAACGGGGCCCCGACTGGGAGGATTAGCTGAACCCATATCAATCCCTGACATGGGATTTTCATATATGTTCATGGGATTGAGTGGGATTTCATGGTGATTCATAGGGATTTAACCAACAACAATGGGGATATTAATGGGAATTATCCTCTGATAATTTCACATGGCTATGAACATGGGCCATTTATGGATGATTCCCCCATTGACAATTGGTGATTGTACATAGCTACTGTATGTTAAACTACCGGAGGGTATATTGCATCATATTCCAGTAGATAAAGTACCAGGAGAGTAAATTCCATTAATATCCCATTAGCTATCCAGTACCTATCCATTTATATCCATTTATGACCCATTAAATCCCATTAAATCAACATCAAATCCCATTAAATCACCTTCAAATTCCATTAACTCACCATTAAATCCCATTAAATCACCATTAAATCACAATCAAATCCCATTAAATCACCATTAAATTCCATTAAATCACAATCAAATCCCATTAAATCACCATCAACTCCCATTAAATCACCATTAAATCCAATTGAATCACCATTAAATCACCATTAAATACCATTGAATCACCATTAAATCACCATTAAATCACCATTAAATCACAATCAAATCCCATTAAATCACCATCAAATCCCATTAAATCACCATTAAATCCAATTGAATCACCATTAAATTAAATCACCATTAAATCCCATTAAATCACCATCAACTCCCATTAAATCACCTTCAAATTCCATTAAATCACCATTAAATCCAATTGAATCACCATTAAATTAAATCACCATTAAATCCCATTAAATCACAATCACATCCCATTAAATCACCATCAAATCCCATTAAATCGCCATTAAATCCAATTGAATCACCATTAAATCCCATTAAATCACAATCAAATCCCATTAAATCACCATCAACTCCCATTAAATCACCATTAAATCCAATTGAATCACGATTAAATCACCATTAAATACCATTGAATCACCATTAAATCACCTTCAAATTCCATTAAATCAGCATTAAATCACCATTACATCAACATTAAATCCCATCAAATCACAATCAAATCCCATTGAATCACCATCAAATCCCATTAAATCGCCATTAAATCCAATTGAATCACCATTAAAACCCATTAAATCACAATCAAATCCAAATAAATCACCATTAAATTCCATTAAATCACCATCAAATCCCATTAAATCACCATTAAATCACCATTAAATCCCATCAAATCACAATCAAATCCCATTAAATCACAATCAAAACCCATTAAATCGCCATTAAATCCAATTGAATCACCATTAAATCACATTAAATCGCCATTAAATCCAATTAAATCACCATTAAATCACATTAAATCACAATCAAATCCCATTAAATCACCATCAACTCCCATTAAATCACCATGTCAATGTGCAACATCTGCATATGCATCTTGCATGTCATGTACCATGACAGGAACATGCCCGAAACATTTGAGGCACAAGTGTCCCAGTTTTCAGGCGAAAAGACTGTGCTCTCGTTTGCATCAGCATGTTGCTTTGATCGCTGTTTGCCAGTGGCTTCTACATTGGTATCGCGGAGCTGTCTGGAACTATGGCTGAAAGGCCGAGACAATGGCGGCCTAGGGAGGAGGACTCAGAAGGAGTCCGAGGCGAGCCTAGGCTTGGCATAGGTCAGCTGGATCCAGGTGACGATGATGGAGCCCAAGATGACGAGGAGGACATAGCAGGGTTGCCTGCTGGAGACGGTAGCGGATACGAACGGTGGCATCATGACGGTGCCTGGGACGACCAACAGGATTGGCATGGATGGAACGACCAAGGTCGCGGATGGTGGCCCTCGTGGGGCTGGAGCTCTTGGAATGATGATCATCGAGGATGGCACCACGGAGGATGGGATCATACTACTTCCTGGCCGAGCTCTACTACCAGTGCAGTTGGCGGAAGGCTCAATGATGAGCAACTACGCAATTTCAATGTGGCTGACATTGCGGCAACGACGGCCATGAGGGATGGACGATGGTCTGGGAGCCCTACACCACCGCAGGCGACAGCCTCCAACCAGGAGGAGGAAGGAACGAACCCTCGTTCCACGGAGAAGCTCACGGTGCCGGAGTTCTCTGGCGAGGGCTCTGACACGGAAGTGGGTAAGACCGCAAGGTCTTATGTGAGAAGAATCCAGGCTTGGGTGAGGAGCACGAAACTACCTCCTCACCAACGAGCCTTGGCACTCTACACCGCGCTGAAGGACAGAGCTTGGGTCTACGCGGAGGAGTTGGACATCGACCGACTTGGTTCTGAAGGAGGCATGAACTACTACCTGGACTGGGTTCAGACCCGCTTCATGGACGTGGAGGTCAGCAAGACTTCCCAGATGATGAACGACCTGTTCAGACGATGCAAGCGCAGAGCTGACCAGTCGGTGCGAGACTTCAACGTGGAGTTCGAGCGGATGGTCCTTCGCCTTCACGAGGTGCGGTGCGACTTGCCGCCCCTTGTGAAGGCATGGCTTTACTTGGATAAGCTGCGCTTGTCTGAGAGCGAGGAGTTGGCACTCTTGGCAAGCGTGGGGAATGAGTATGATGTCCGACGCCTTCAACAAGCAGCCCTCATCCAGGACAAGGGCATCCGGCGTGGGGTCTACGAGAAACCGAATGTCAACAACAAGTTCAATGGAGGACGCTGGACTAAGAGCATCCACATGACCAACGACGAGGTGACCAGCGACGAAGATGAAGGTGGATTACCGGTGGTCCCTGAAGAAGACCTGGTGGACGAAGAGACGGCCTTGGAACATCACACAGCCTTCATGGCCTACCAGGGTGCGAAGGCTCGATACCGTGAGGCGACCCGTGGGAGAGGAACGGATCCCACGGCTTTGCAGAAGGCTTCAGAGGAGAGGCTGAGGCTGGCGAAGCAGCGCAGTTATTGCTCGGTATGCAAGAGGAGGGGACATTGGCATAAGGATGCCGAGTGTCCGGCCAACCAACAGAAGAAGCAGGCGGCCGAGCATGCTTCGCAGAGCGCTCAGATGTGCTACTTCGTCTACATGACCTTCGCTGGTGGTGGCGATCCTACTCCGACTTCTTCATCTATGCTGGCGATCGTGGACACGGCATGTACGAGATCGGTGGCGGGGTATCGCTGGTTCGAAGGATACTACACCCTGGCGGACAAGGCGGGCATCCCAGTGAAAACTGTCGATTTGACCGACACCTTCAAGTTTGGAGCTTCGAAGGTCTTTGAATCCAACTTTGCGGTTTGGGCCTGGTTCGCTATCGATGGCAAGTGGTTCGCTGTGAGGGTCTCTATCGTACAATGTGACGTACCACTTTTGTTTTCTAGGTCAGTTTTGGCAGGATTGGGAATGCAGTTGGATGTAGCTGGGCACAAGGCCATTTTGACAGCTCTCCAGGATTGTGAAGTGGGTCTGGCAACAAGCGAGACCGGTCATCCTGCCCTGAAGGTTTCACAATTTCCAAATTCAAAGCCTCCGTTTTTGGCCTTTAAGGCTGCGGATGAAGTCTGTATCCCGAACTCTGGTTGCGAAGGGTACATGGAGCACAGCGTTGTGGAGACCCCCAAAACTTTGTTCTACCCGAAGAAGATCTCAAAGGTTGTTCAGAACCTCTTGATGGAGAAAGGGACTATTTCGGGCCCGTCCTTTTTCACATGGTGGAGAGCAGCAAATCAGAGTAGGGATTTTTGGATTGAAACTGACTCCGAAATGATTCGCATTCATGTTTGTCCACGCAGAGATCAATTTGACCCATCAAAATGGAATACCACTCTGAGTGAACTGAAGAAAACCTTGCTGCAATCCATCACCGGTCATCGAGTCACTGAGATGATTCCATGTTTGAACGAAGGCATCCAGGTTGAGACATCACAAGACAAGCTTTCTGACAACCACATTGTGAAGTGGCAGCATGGACCTTGGATTGGCCGCAGCCGCTTCAGGAAGTCAAGTGTTGCCCGGTGCCCTTCGACCGCTCATCTCACGAATGCCCAAGGCTCAATCGCCATGGAACATGCGCAAGGAGGAGCTGCTGGCGGCGTTGCGCCATCGGGACATCCCAGTGCACGACAGCTGGTCAGTCCCCGAATTGAGGGCGATCTTGGTGGAGCACTGCAAGCAGGAGAAGGGCATCGAACCCACAGAGACGCGAGGTTTGGCCAAGATGAACCTCGAGCAGTTGGTCCAGGAGTGCAACAAGCTGGAGATTACAATGCCAACCAAGCCCACTCGGGGCGCCCTGATGCTTCTGATCCGGGACCACACCAAATCCCCGGGTCACACGGTGATGCCCTTCGGAAGGTACAAGGGTTGGCATTACTGCGAGGTCCCGAAGGGGTACAAGACTTGGGCGGTGGAGGAAGTGTCGAAGAACTCCAACGCTTCGGAGGACCTGGTGAGGTTCGCAAAGTGGTCAAAGGAGGACCTGATCAAGAACGAGCCGAGCCCGATCCCAACACACAACCTGGCGCGGGACCCGGAGGCTCTTGCGACGGCGCCGCCGCCTTCGATGGAGCAGCTCGAGTCGGACAGCAGCACATGGAGCCGTGTCTCACACCGTCCATCGAGAAAGGGCCGTCGCGACACAGACATGGAAGAGGAGCACCTGGTGACGCACCCCAAGGCAGAGATGGTCCGATTGGAACGGCGTTTGGAGGAGTTGAAACGGGCCGAGAAGGAGAAGAACATGCGTTGAGCTCTATGCCCATCATCACTGAGAATGTGGAGAAGTACGTCTACATGACTGTGGATGACGTCTCCACTGACTCCAGTGCGGTTTTTGAAGGGTATGCAGTTGTTGAGAATGACATGACCCCTGAGGAGTCCGACATGTCTGAGGGGTTCCCAGCCACAAAGAATGACATGGTGTCTGACGAGATCGAAGGCCCGGACAAGTCTGAGGTTTCAAAGTATAACTCCAGTTCGGATAGCTGTGAGATGAATCCCAGGAAGCGGGCTAGG